CTGCAAGTTATCAATGGAACCCATTTCATCTGTTGTATACATCTGCCTGTGTCTAGCCAGTTCTGGGGGAGTTGGCCTATAGCTCACTACACCAGTAGCGCATCCAGGGAAACATTACTCTATTTCCTCTTTCAGTGATACATTACACACTACATATCTTTGCCATGATTTTTTCCACCTCTTCTTTTAAGTATGTGAGTACTTGTGTAGGTGTGCTACAATTGACATTTGTGCTTATTTGCATATTTATGTGTAAAGCAATGGGAAGGTTCAATGTGTCTCTATGTAGGTATGGGTGGAGATGTCTGAGTAGATCTCTGTGGGTGGGAGATTTTTGTGGAGGACAGTAGTATATGTTTGCACACTCAGTACTCTAAAGAAAAAAAGTTTGGCCCTGGCCACTACAAATTTCCATCCAGCCCTTAACACAGGGCTAATTCTAAGCCTGGTAAAACAACAACAACAACAAAAAAAAAAACCCAAAACCCCCACCAAAATAAAAATAAAAATAAATAACAACATAAAAAAAAACCAGACTAACAGTTCCTAAAAAAGGAACTTCAGTGTACCATGAAGTCAGAAAGAATGATAAAAAACCTGAACTAAACATTTAGACTGAAGGCCATAAATATTTAATCCAGTATCAGATTTTGTGCCAGTTTTCGTTTTTGTGGTTAATGGACTGAAGCACTTGTTTGCAGTCCTGCCTTGGAAATTCTTAGTCTTTCATTTGTGTTCAGTGGATAGAATTCCAAAGTTTTTGGGCCATATAATATTTATGTGCAACTCTAAATGCCTGTTTTTAAAGCTGTACCTCCTCATATGGATGTTAAAATGTCAGAACCAGTAAATTGGTTTATTCCCATTGCCTGCCTGTATGTGATTTAACTTCTCTTAGAATTTCAAGAAAAATAAAATGTGTAAATGATTGAGATTACCACTGCTAAATAGGGCCTGAATATATAATCCAACCTTTAAGGAACATCTAGATAGGATGAAAGGGCAAGAAGTGGATGGAGAGTTTCCTCTTGCCATGCTTTGGAAAAGTCTATGTAACTTAGGTAAAATTTATGTTGTTGGTGAGGACAGCAATACTCAGAATAATACACATATTCTCTTCTGTAATTTATGGCAAGCAATATTGAAAATGCTTTGTGCCTTTTAAAAATATGTTTTTTATTTATTTTAGAGCCAGAGGAAGGGAGAGGATAGATAAAAACATTGATGAGAGAGAAACATCGATCAGCTGCCTCCTGCACACCCCCTACTGGGGATTAAGCCAGCAACCCAGGCATGTGCCCTGACAGAGAATTGAACCATAACCTCCTGGTTCATAGATCAATGCTCAACCACTGAGCAACACCAGCCAGGCGGTTTATGCCTTTTTTATTGTTATTTATATCTAATATTTATAAATTTGTACATAGTTCAATGTTTATGTTTATTTCATTTAAGGTGCTATTATACTGAGTGAAATAAGCCAGTCAGAGAAAGACAAATATTACATGATTTCACTTATAAGTGGAATCTAATGAACATAATACGCAGATGAACAAAATAGGTCCAGTGTCATGGATGCATTGAAAAGAATGACAGATCTCAGAGTCGGGGAGGAGATGGGAAGAGATTAACCAGAGAACTTATATACATAATAGAGGCCTGGTGCACGACATTCATGCACTGGGGGAGGGCGGGTCCCTCAGCCCAGCCTGCACCTTATCACGCTCCAGGACCCCTCAGAGGATGTCCGCCTGCCGGCTTATGCCCACTACCCTAAGCTAGCAGTTGGACATCCTTCAAGTGGTCCTTAGCATTGCTGAAATGGAGGGAGAGGCTCCCGCCACCACCGCTGCACTCACCAGGTGTGAGCCCAGCTTCTGGCTGAGCAGTGCTCCCCCGTGGGAGCACACTGACCACCAGGGGGCAGCTCCTGTGTTGAGTGTCTGGCTCCTGGTGGTCAGTATGCATCATAGTGACTGGTCATTCTGCCATTTGGTCTATTTGCATACTAGGGTTTTATTATATAGGATATGTATAACCAATAGACACAGACAGTAGTGTAATGAAGGCCTGGGATGAGGCAGGGACTGGGAGGAGGGGGACAAAGGTAGGGGAGAAACTGGGGAACATTTATAATACTGTCAATAATAAAAAAGGACTGCAGAGAAGAATAATCTTATTAACTTCAATTTTTATAATCATAAGAAGTTAGGCTTTGATCTTGGTCTAGTTGAAGTCCTATACTTTAAAGTTGTATAAACTCAGAGTTTGATAGGTTAAGCAATTTGGTCAAAATCACAAAATTGGAACTAGAACAAGCTTCTAGACCACCAGTCACCAACCTTTCAAACCTCATGGACCACCAGTGGTCCACGGACCACTGGTTGGCGACCACTGCTCCAAAGGTTTCCTCTAGACCAGTGTTTCCCAAAGTGTGGTACGTGTACCCCCAGGGGTACAGGAAGAGTTTGGTGGGGGTACGCGTTGCACCGGAGTTTGATGGGGATATGTACTGCACCGTGCTTAGCTGCGCCTAATTCTACGTTCTCATAAGTACGAGGGGTACTCAGTGTTATGAAAATTATAGAAGGGGTACACATATGTCAGAAGTTTGGGAAACACTGCTCTAGACTATGAGTTAAGGATCCTTTGTAGTACAGCCTGCTGCCACTTTATTTTAGACTTAAGTTTTCCCCATGAAATGTGATTTGAAACTAAACATTATGCCTCAGCAATTACACATCTTATGGGTCACACAGATAGACAATTAACAGCATCAAGGAAAGGACATATTGTATAAACTTACGGCTTCATAATGGCAAGAGATGGGGGTGGGGTTGCAGGAAGAATGGGGGTATGGAGAGGATAGAATAATCTCTGCCAAATATTTGCAGGTGTTAGAACTATAAATAAGGCATTGGCCTTGAGAAATATTCCAAACAGAAAAATCTGTATCCATATGTACAATTGAGATAACAAAAGACTGGATATAATAAGCCTGTATCTACAGAACACCAGCTTTTTGAAAACATCTAAAACATGAAAACATTGGATGATGGATTGGATATTTGGCATCATGCAGCTATGGCCCTTGTCTCCAGGGATGGATGGAATACAAAAATATTTTACCAAAATATACTTTAGTCTGTAACTAATCAGTAATTTTCAGAGAAAGAAAGTCCAGATTTTGAATCATTCCCCTTTAATTTTTAAGGAAATGTGCAGAAAAATCTGATTATAAATTAAATAGAAACTTCTTTTGCTCATTTTTGGACAGAGAGTGGAAACATATGAATCATTCCCAACCATGTGGTTATATTGTCTGGAACATCTTGGACTTGGGGAGGGAGAGGAAAGTGCTGCTTATGTCTGTGTGGGTGGGGTGGGGTCACGTTGGTTTGGTGCCAGGTGTAAAAGGATATTAGTTCTCCTCTTAAAGTAGAGAGAAAATCTGACTTTCAGTATCACATATACTCACTCTTTTGAGTTAATTTTAATTTAGAAAAGCATTTAGGATTGTCCCCTTAATCTACTTGATTCTTTCTGAGGAAAAAGGAAAACATTAGCTGTCTGAAGCTGTGGGGGAGATAACCTTGAGCATACTTCCCTGGCCTTAGGGAAGCACAGAAGTCCTACGGGAGAAAAGGAAGAGTCTATCTATCTATCTATCTATCTATCCATCCTATCTAATAAAAGAGCTCTATGCAAATTAACCATCACTCCTGTATACCTACAAGCCACGCCCATCAGCCAATCAGGAGAGAGTATGCAAATTAACCCAACCAAGATGACTGCAGCCACAGAATGAGCAGGAGGCTTGGGTTTCCCTGGCAATGGAGGAAGCTAACCTTTCCGCACACCCTGGCGGCCCCAGGCCTCCACTCAAGGCTACAAAGTTTTAATTATAGAAGATAAATAAATCCCAACAAAAATGGCAGCAGCCATGGGGCTGGAGAGAGCAGGAGGCTTGAGTTGCCTCTGGCAATGGAAGAAGCCAAGCTTTCTGCAGCCCTGGCCTGCCTTAGCTCCGCTTAAGTCTATAAAGTTTCAATAATAGAAGATAAATCAATCCCAACAAAAATGGCGGCAGCCACAGAGCAAGCAGGAGACTTGGCTCTACTCAAGGCTACAAAGTTTCAATTATAGAAGATAAATCCAGATCCCAAGGCCTCCACTTGGGTCACTGGGGGGAGTGGCTGGCCTGAAAACCACCACAAGCCCCTCGCCCAGGCAGCCCCATGCCCCAAGGGAAGTCCCAACCTGATCTGGGACACCCTTCAGGGCAAACCAGCCGGCCCCCACCTGTGCACCAGGCCTCTATCCTATCTAATAAAAGAATAATATGCAAGTTGACCATCACTCCAACACACAAGATTGCTGTCCCTATGTGGTCAAAGATCCTGCCCCCATGTGGACACAAGATGGCTGCCAAAGGATGGCCAGCATGGGAAAGCAATTGGGAGGCACCAGGCCTGCAAGGGAGGGCAGTTGGGAGCGATCAGGCCTACAGAGGAGGGAAATTGGGCTCGACCAGGCCTGCAGGGAAAGGCAGTTGGGGGAGACCCAGACCTGCAGGGGAGAGCAGTTGGTGGGGACCAGGCCTGCAGGGGAGGGAAGTTGGGGGTCACCAGGCCTGCAGGGGAGGGCATTTGGGGATCACCAGGCCTGCAGGGGAGGGCAGTTAGGGTTGACCAGGCCTGCAGGGGAGGGCAGTTAGGGGCAATCAGGCTGTCAGGGGAGTGGTTAGGGGGTGATCAGGCTGGCAGGTAGAAGTGGTTAGGGGCAATCAGGAAGACAGGCAGGCGAACAGTTGGGAGCCAGCAGTCCTGGATTGTGAGAGGGATGTCCGACTGCCTATGAGGGATGTCATATTGGAGAGGGTGCAGGCTGGGCTGAGGGACACACACCCCTGTGCATGAATTTTGTGCATCAGACCTCTAATATATGAACACACACACACACACACACACACACACACACACACACACACACGTGTTTGAGTTTCTGGCCAGTAACTGATAGAGTATTTATTTGCACTTTTTGGTTCTGGGGCTTAATTTTTGTCATTTATAACTCTGTACAAACATCCCTGATTAGGATTATTTGTTTAATAAAGAATAAACAAACCATTATGTAATAGATGCAAGATGAGAATAACCAGAAGCTAGTTAACATGTATTCAAAATGGCTTAGAGGATTTGGGATACTTAGTATATTTTATATTCTTACTTAGTTGTCCAGGCTACTTACATGCCTTCAGAAGACTACCAGTGGTTTAAGTAAATTCTTTAATTTCAAAGAATAATTGTGTTTATGACAGTTATTACAGTAGTAAGGCCTATCAAAGTAGTTATTTTCTCCGTTATCTCTTTACTTACTAATCACAATATATAAATTAGTTCATTATTTGTGCTGCTTTTCTATAAAACTGCTTCACATTTTAGAGTTTTCATTGTTACATGAGTTTCTCATCTTAGAAAAGATATTATTGTATTAGTAAATTTTGGCTTTATAAAAAGAGGTCCATTTCAGTGGCTCTCTCTATTGGTGCTCCATCTCATCTTGATATTCTAAGTCCTGTACAACTTGGTCCTCATGCTGCCCTTCTCTCTTTTTCCCCTTCCACTCTCAAACATGCCACCTTCACCTACCCAGGGTAGCCTCCCAACTATCTACTAAACATACAATCCTCTTTCCCAACTGTGAACTTTCACTCTCACTCATGCTCTTCTCTTGGCCTGCCCTGATTAGCAATCCAACCTATTCTTTAGCACTCACTTGAAACCCCACAAGGCCACTCCAGCACAGAGCAACTATACATAAATTCTTTGAGGCAAGTCACAAGGTATTTTCTTCAGTATCCTCCTTAGTGTCTAGCACACATAGTCAGGGTTCAGGATTTAAGAAATCCAAATGAATTAAATATTTGTAATGGATTTGCAGCAAGTATACCAGTATCTATAGCTTGTTTTGGTTCTTATCTTGCCATTATGATTTCTTTAGCAGTCTGAAAAAATCTCCTGTGAACTACTGATAATGTTAAAAACCAGAGTTTTAGCAAAAGTATAACATGTACTTAATTTTAAGTGCCTATCCATTTTGATTGCTGGATTTTCCAACTGCCTAACCTTATTGTGACATCTGTATAAATCATATGTGATTATTATAATTCTTTTTGAAAGTGATGTCTTCACATTTCCATGCCCATAGCCTGCCAAAAATATAGCTGATGAAAACCAGGGGGAATAGAGGAATTTCCTGAAAGGAATAAACAAGCACATTTTCTTTTTCTCATTACATTTCCACAAATTCATTACTTCAAGTAATTCTTAAATTCAGTTACATTTACACATCAGGTATCTTGTTGTTAAAACCTATTATCTGGCACTAGGATTAGCTTTTGTTTATGGGAAAGTAAAACACACACACACACACACACACACACACACACACGCACACACACGCACACACAGACGAAGACAGACAGAGAGTGCTAAAGATTGCCAGACAAAGAAGAGAGATATGAGACTTGGAGGATGTTCAAAGGAAAGCCACAACGAGAATTAAAAGGTTGGAAAATATGATATTCTGGGATCTTACCATAGTTGATTGCTTGTCCTTCTTCCTGCTCAGTCACCCTGTCATCCACCCACCCTTCTGTCAGCCACTACCTTCTCACAGGTATTTGTCTACTCACCCACTTGACACCCACTTCTGTCTGCCAAGACAGATACCCTCTCAACATAACTACCAGTGGGCATTTGGCTGTTTTTGAGCAAGTGTTTGTTGAGTATGAATGTAAGAGAAAGAAAGAGAAATATCTTTATGAGACTGAGTTACAGTGGGTATATTTGCATATATATGCATGTGTCATTATATACAAGCGTATGTGTTTTTGCATGGATGAGTGGCTGAGGATGACTCTGTCTGTGTCAATGTGTATCTATGAATGTGTATCACTGTGTGGAGGAAGAGATAATGTATGTGTTAATTTTCTGTAGGTATTTGTAGATAAGTTGGATATGAGAGGCCATAAGTGTAAGACAAGTTTTCTGTAGCTACCCTAGGGAAGGTTAGGAACTCAGCAAAACCCCTCCTGATACTAAGGATCTCCATAATAAATGAGCAAGTTCATATATTCTCATGATAAGAAAAGTCTCCAGGTGGAGACCAGGACCGGTTATCATGGGTGAGAGATCAAAAAAAGTTGTTTCTCACTTTCATGCACTTAGGTACTGAATCACAGTAGTTAAATATAATGAGAACAAAGCATTTCAGTCCAGATTTGCACTCTCTAAGGTAGGGGTGTCGAACTCAATCAGAGAAGGGGCCAAAATCTAAAATCCAGCCTAAATCGCGGGCCGAATGGTTTACTGAACAGTCATAAACTGTCATTGTGATGGAAAGGCAGCGGAGTGCAGTGATGACAGCGCTGTGCGGGCCACATTGCAAGGCCTGGCGGGACGGATTTGGCCCGCGGGCCTTGTGTTTGACACATGTGCTCTAAGGTATGGTAGTGGACGGGTGTGTATGGGGGTGGGGGTAATATCTGTCATGAGGTGTCTCAGCTAAACAAGCCTTCAACTCACTATTGTAAAATCATTCTTGCTTGTAGATATAACTTCTCTGTGTTCTCTTAATTGCCCAAGACTTGCCCCCATTACTTATAATATATATAAATCTGTTAATCTTTTGTACGTGTATGGGGATAAAAATGCATTTTATTCCATCTCTGCTCAAACTGTGTGCTAAGACTTATTTGGACTTTTATTATTTTTCTTCTAATAATTACATTGATTCTCTGGCTCAGTTCTCATGTAGCATTAACAGGGTTCTGTGTTAAAAGATGATTTACATTATTTCTTAGGTTTGAGAACAAGTTTAGCAAGTAGATACTCCAGCTATCTGTGCTCTTTTCTTTCTGTTTTACTGTTATTTCTTTTGTCCTAAGTCTTCTCATCAACACATCTTAAAAGACCTAACAATCCTTAATCTGAGAACAGTTTACAAAATGTTTTCTCAGAGATTGTTCTTGGGTGGATGAAAATCCTGTCTGTTAATATTGGGCAAAAGAACATTTTATAGAAATATAGTATATGTGAGGAAATATTAAGGAAACAAGAATTATTGAACCATCCCTAGCCGGTTTGGCTCAGTGGATAGAGCATTGGCTTGCAGACTGAAGGTTTCTGGGTTCGATTCTGGTCATGGGCACATGCCCAGGTTGGGGTTGTAGGCTTCATTCCCAGTGAGGGGCATGCAGGAGGCAGCCAATCAATGATTGTCTCTCATTGTTGATGTTTCTATCTCTCTCTCCCTCTCCCTTCCCCTCTGAAATCAATAAAAATATATTTTTAAAATAATTATTGAACCAAAAGAAGTGAAGTTTAAAGGAAAAATGTGATAATGACATTCAAGTTTATAAAGGATTAAAATAATGAGTTAATATTAATTAAACCGTAGCACCAGAGATTTAGGCCAGGGTTTCATTCATTCATTTAAAAAAAATAATAATAATGAATGCTAATTTTATTCAATGTAGTAGAAGCTGGGGACACAGAAAATAAAGCACAGTCCCTGCCGTGAGGTGCTCTAAGCTGAGTAAGTAAGGAAGATAGATATGTACATAGAAAATTCTAATTCAGTATAGTAAGTGCCTTGACAGGATTGCACAAGATACTCTGGACTCAGCAAACTCATTAGGCAACAGAGCCAAATATCAATAGTACAACGATTGAAATTTCTTTTGAGAGCCAAATTTTTTAAACTTAAACTTCTCCTAATGCCACTTCCTCAAAACAGACTCGCCAAGGCCATGGTATTTTGTGGAAGAACCACACTCAAGAGGCCAAAGAACCATATGTGGCTCGAGAGCCGCAGTTTACCGACCACAGCTTTGGGGCAAAGAGGAAGAATCAGGGAAAGGAAGTCATTCAGCTCAAAACCAGAGAATCATCATGAATGGATTTGTTGGATAGGAGAGCAAACTGGAGAAAGACTGAGGAGAAAGAATTGATAGGACTTGGTGAATGATTATAGTGGTTATAGACAAAGGAGAGAAATAATTTAAAACATGATCTTTGAGTAGATGTCATGAATAATTGTGGTATTGGGGACAGAAATGGGAGGATTAGCAAGGAGCTAGCTAGCAGTTTGTTGAGATGATGACTTAGATTTGAGTTTGATGTGATTGTGGGTTGACTCAACATTCACTCATTTATCAAACATTTACTAAACACCTATGTGGGAACCCTAATCAGAGTACGCCAGATGTTCAAGGCCAGTTGCATATGCATGTGTAAAAGCAAGGACACAGCATTCTGTATGGACTGTGCAGGCATACCTTTCTATAACCCAAATATTGATGTCACTAGTTGGCAAGAAGCCTCTTTGGTCTAAGTTGATATAGAGATGAGTGACTGACCATCCAGTGCATGGCTGCTTTGTGGGCTGCTTTGAAGAACTACTTTGTCCAATGGCTACTTAGTAGCAATGGCTTCTTCGTCTGCAATAAAGTCTTTCTTATATGCTCATTTCATCTTCCAATACCCAGCACGACCTATTAGGGGCCAAGCACCAGAAGAAATGTAGGGGTTACAAGTATAAAGACACCTAGTCTCAACCCTAGTGGAGTTCTCAGCTTAGTGTGGATCAAGAGGCAATTAAGGACACAGTTATAAGACAATGTAGCGAGTGCTATGACTGCAGAAGCACATGAGGCTGTGAGATAGCATAGAAGAGACACCAACATAGATTTTGGGTGGGCTTTTGGACCCCTTGTTGGGAGCAAGGGGCACAGTAAGTGCTCTAGTTAAGATAAAATAGTTTGTTCAAATATCTGGAGGAGAGACAGCACGGGTTACTCTTAGAACTGAAAGAGTAAGTGTATTTTAGGAGTTGAAAGTCAGACCTTTATGTCAGCTGAAAGATCAGGTCTAGAGAAAGAAATTTGGTGTTTTTCGCATGGAGATAGAATTATGTAGTGGTGAGCTAATGAGGGCCCAAGAATGAGCCTTGCAGCAGACAAATGATCTAGAATTTTGTCATGGAGGAAGAGCAAAAGGAGGATGTGTAGGAGAGGCAGAGACTGAAGAGAAATAGTGCAAGTGGAATACAATATTGAGGCCTCCAGGAATGTAGGGTTGGCTTTGACTCACTAATCTAGCTATTATTAAAATGATGCTAGATTTCAATTTTTAGTACAGGTTTTCATTTAGAAGGTCCAAATAATAATTTACACTTCTAAGCTAGAGATTAACAATGTTATGAATCTAAAGAGAGGGGAAAGAATGTGGGATGTTTCATGTAGCATGTCTGATAAAGTGACTGAGGGAGTGTAGGTCTTTGCTGAATGATTTCAGAAAGTTCTGATGCCCGGCCGGCTTGGCTCAGTGGTTGGACATGGTTCACATATCAACCAGGAGGTCACGGTTCAATTCCTGGTCAGGTTGCATGTCTGGGTTGCAGGCTCTTTCCCAGGAAGGGGGTGTGCAGGAGGCAGCCGATCAATGACTCTCTCATCATTGATATCTCTCTCTCTCTCTCTCCCTCCCTCTCTCTCTCTCTCTCTCTCTCTCTCTCTCTCTCTCTCTCTCTCTCTCTCTCTCTCTCTCTCTCTTTCTCCCTTCCTCTCTGAAATCAATAAAAAAATATATTTTTTAAAGTTCTGAAAAGTGGGATGGCAACTTGTTCCACCTGGCCCGAGGACTGGTCTGATGATCTCTAACAAGCCTTAGGTGGAATAAATCTTATACATCCAGTATATAACCTGCATCTCCTTTTATGACATAGCCTGTGTCTATACAGCAGCAAATAAATGTTTGGGGAAGGAATAAAACTCTGGCATAAGGGTGTGGGTTTTCATTTATGGAACAGATGGTGTGTTCTGCTGTGGAAAGGCCATATGTAATTGATACATAATGTGACAGACTGAAGCAAAAGCAAATTAAGTATTTTAAGACAAGCAGTTAAAAAAAGAAGGCAGAACATGACCCTCAAAAGTGTGCTAAGATTTTGGCTTCTAGCTTGTGTAAAAGCTGGGAACATCCGTGAATAGACAGGATGTCAAAAAAGAACATGCTAAAGAATAGTAATAGGGACACTGGCTCAGGTTATTTTTAAAGATGAAGTTATCTTCTGTCAACTGGGAAGGCTTAGGTTTGTAATGAGTTGGCCTTTTTTACCCTTTCCCTTATCTCCCTGCACTTCCAAGATTCAGTTTCCACATCAAAAAAGCTTTGGATAGCCGAAACCGGTTTGGCTCAGTGGATAGAGCATCAGCCTGCAGACTGAAAGGTCCCAGGTTCGATTCCGTTCAAGGGCATGTACCGTGGTTGGTAGGGGTAGTGCAGGAGGCAGCTGATCAATGTTTCTCTCATTGATGTTTCTAACTCTCTATCCCTCTCTCTTCCTCTCTGTAAAAAATCAAAATATATTTTTAAAAAACAGCTTTGGATAATGACCCTTGTGTCTTTTATTTATTTTAAATCAACTCTGGTGGGCCCTGGCTAGGTGGCTCATTCGGTTGGAGCATAGTCTCATACACCATACAAGGTTGCAGGTTCAATTATCAGTCAGGGCACATATCTAGATTGCAGGTTCTATCCCTGGTCTGGGAGCATACAGGAGGCAACCAATCTGATCGATGTTTCTCACATCGGTGTTTCTCCCTCTCCCTCTTCCTCTCCCTCTCCCTCTCCCTCTCCCTCTCCCACTCCCTGTCCCTCTCCCTGTCCCTGTCGCTCTCCCTGTCCCTCTCCCTGTCCCTCTCCCTGTCCCTGTCCCTCTCCCTGTCCCTGTCCCTCTCCCTGTCCCTCTCCCTGTCCCTCTCCCTGTCCCTGTCCCTGTCCCTCTCCCTCTCCCTGTCCCTCTCCCTGTCCCTGTCCCTCTCCCTCTCCCTCTCCCTCTCCCATCAATTTTTAAAAAACCATATCCTTAGATGAGGATTAAAAGAAAATGTTTTAACAAATTTACTCTGGTTGGATTTGACCTATCATATCTTTTAGATAACAAGAGAGCATACAGACTAGTGAAGTAGGCTTAAGGAAGGGTTCAAAGGGGGTCATTGGGGAAAAGGGGGCATATCTTTAATACTTTCAACAATAAAGATAAATAAATAAAAATTTGAAAGAGAGCATATAGGCACTTGGTGGCAAAACTACATGTTTCCATAGAACAGAAAACTCCACCCTCTTTTAGGCTTCAAGACTTGCTATTTCAGGTAGGTAAGTGTGCTCATATGTGAATACATGTGCCTTCACAGAGCATGACAAATGGAGATCATGGTCAAGTGTATGTCATCAGGGAAATCACTCTATCTTTAATGAAGAGCTGGTATTTTGATGTATAGTTAGGTTTCTTGAGAGAGCCAATGAAAAACTAACCAGAAATAACCTGTATCTAGAAAACTGGGGGGGAAACCCCACACAACCCTTCAGCAATTACTTGAGAGGTTTAGAAAAGCCTTTTTTTTTTTTTTTTTTTTTTTTTTTTTTTTTTTTTTAATGGGATGCTGTCTGGAAAAAGAATAGTCTGTGCCTGATTTTCTCAGAAGTGCAAAACGCCTTTCTCTTTGGGAAGGGTATAAAAGAAGACAGAGGCCAAGTCTATATGACACAAATGAAGTGAAACTTGGGTAAAAATGTCAGCCATGTAGGAGTCTGCTAATTTAGCTAACTTGGGCCTTTTGAAATCTCAGTTATGCAAATAAACCTAATTTTCCCTCACTTTGTGTGATTTAGACATATGTATTATACA